GGGTGTCGCATATTTCGTCAACATGCGTAAACAATCAGATTGTCGATTACTTTAATGTACCTGCCGAATAAAATCAAAAGCATATCTACAGATAGGTCAACATCAACCGTTAACATTTCTGCCGTGATCGCCTCAGCCGTTTTTTGTCAAATAATTAGACTGTCAATCCCCAACCAGGAAACAAAATCCGCAGAATTTGCAAGCTTTGAAATAATTATTTAAAAATGTGTCTAATGGATTTAATTTCAAATACGCAGGTGAGCATTAAACAGCGTTCCGCATTATGAAACACTGCATTGACCAGTTATTGCAAACAAATTTGCATTAAGCAGTCAGGGAATCATGCGCGCGACTGACGTACAAACAGATATTGTGGTCTACGTATTACAGGTATATAGTATATTTTCAGACAGTCCATCCGCTACCGTCAAAGACCTCAAAGACTCGAGGCCTGTGTCTTCTCAGGAATCCCGCTCAGCGACGGATCCATCGCCGCTTTCGATCCTACTAACGCCTATTTTAAATACGATGATACACTGAACTGGATCCGACGAAGCAAAGGGAATTCGGAATGGCCGTTTCTGGCTTGATAGCCATAATCACCCAATCATACCCAATCTCAAGAATTGAATCTCCCGAGATTTGAACCCTCGGCCTTTCGTCGTTCAGTTTACCACTCAACCATTGCACCACGTGGTCGTTGCTTCGTCGGTTGAAATCGAAGAGTGATAAATATATGGGCATCGACGATCTGGTAGAGGAACAATTAAATTTCGCTTCGGGCCCTGAGTTCACAATTAGAGGCCGCACAGGCAGTCACATATTGACTATAAGGATATGAGGAAATGGGTCCAACAAAGCAAAAAGGATACCAAACTGGCCGTTTCTGGCTGGGTAGCCGTCATCAGCCAACCCTACCCACTATCAAGCCTTGGAACGCCCGAGATTCGAAAATAATATTTTGCTCAGTACGTTGCAACCCCGCCATATATCTTACCGTGGTGGTGGTATCTGCTCAAGTCAGTAATCTCACGTGCTGCGTGAACTGCCCACGTGATCCATACCGGAGCTGATATTTCCGTGCCCGTACGATAACTGCGCGCACCCAGCGAACTACACGTGATCACGCTCGATCCGTAGAACAACATGGGTGCTAACGTGCAAGCTAATCTTTCAACACAGGCGATCCCTGGCTGCTAGGAGAAACGCGCCCTGACAGAATGTCATCAAACTGGGTCGAATGCAGCGATAAGCGCAATCGATGAGCACATGCCTGTGTGTACCATCAGAGCGGTCTTGACGCCCTTTAAACCGCTCGTTCCATAGACCCGATAATCTTCTTAGTTCGTAGTCAGCATTCAGTTATCTCTGAATACTGCGTCTTTCCAATCAATTGCAGGTAAATTGCTTTAAATAATCCTAGAAAAAATAAATGAGTGCAATCTCCAGTCGCTATAATGCGCATAAAATTGTGGTGACCCTGTGGCACCATCCACATTTCGCGTCACGCATAAGGTCACTTCACTGCATTTCACGCTCGCCCTGGGATACCCAAGCATAGTTGCCGCAAATAAAGCCAACGCTTAACAAATCACGATGGCTAGCAAGTGCAGAAACACCAACGCCTGCTTCTTACATCCCCATGAGGCTAGCGCATAAGGCTTCATGTGACGGCTGTCGACCGACTATACATAGGACATTGTCTCGTTTAGGCGCAGACGTACATCGTCCGACAATCAACTTCCTCCTGACTATTCTCCACTTCCACTGTAAAGAATAAATAATATCGATTTCACCCGCCCCCAAAGAAGAGGAAAAAGAAGGCACGAGGACATGGACCGTTTTATTTTAAGAAAGACGTTTCGGACACTCTTTCAGTTCCATCGTCAGAATAACTCGGTGGT